AATCTGTAGGGGAGCGTAGGGGATTTCTTCACGGTTTGAATTGAAAAAAAAATTGTGTGTCTGTTTATGGTATTATGAATTACAAAATGGAACTAGCAATATTGAACTGCAGGATAATCAGGATTTTTCATGGAAACAACTAGAAATTTAGATTTGAATTGAATGTGGAAGCACTGGAATATGTGGTATAATAACCATTGAACTATAAATAAACTGGAAGGCTAACTGCTATGATGAAGGCCTATGATTTGATGAAGCCAAAATAGTTTTTCTGAGTTATGAGCAGAAATACTTGACCCCAAACGTCGGGCAATATATCAAATTGAAGCTATCAAAAATTGCTATTCGGTGTGGAAATTTCAAGACTTCAGCGAAAAGAAAAATCTTTAAAAAATACAAAAACAACTGCAAAACGGCAAATTATCGGTAATTATGTTTGTAGTTTTTTAATATTCCCCTTTTAGCTAAAGTCTTGAAATTTCTACACCAAATAGCGTTTTTCAATAGCTTCAATTTGATATATAGCCCAACGTTCAGTGTTGAGTATTTCTGCTCATAACTCAGAAAAACTAAAATGCACTGGCTTCAATCCTCCCCCCACCTGAGTTAGCCTTCCAGTTTATTTATAGTTCAATGTTCAGTCTATAGACTCATTGCACTGACGTCGCAAATTCTTAGAGTGTCCTCCAGATGCTACCTAACAATATCTGTTCGGGTACAACAACCACATACAACAGCGCAAAAATTTACCGTTTTTAATACAAAATTATTGTAATTATTATTCAAAATTTGCTTTGTTTACAGAAGTATATATTATGCATGCATAGATTGCTAATTTGTCCTCCAGATGCATCATCACCGGCGCTGTGACGTCATGTGCAATGGGTCTATACGCAAAGTGAAGCCAAGATAGCGTAATGGACCTTTCCCCTTATAACTAAAATTTCGATCTAGACAAAAATTTCATCACAACTTGAAAGAGCATCACAAAATTAGTAATATTCCAAAGTTTCGTTGCGAAATGTTGTAAAATGCGGATAATATAGCCTTGCGAAGTTTGCCGTTTTTCAGTCATTTTGTATTACGCATGGGAAATTGACAGCCCAATCGGGTGTTGGGGCATCAATTTCCCGTTTGTAATACAAAATGACTGAAAATTGCAAATTTCGCAGGGCTATATTATCCGCATTTTACAACATTTCGCAACGAAACTTCGGAATATTACTAATTTTGTGATGCTCTTTCAAGCTGTGATGAAATTTTTGTCTAGATCAAAATTTTAGTTATAAGGGGAAAGGTCCATTGTTGCCTCGTCGTCTTTTCGGTTTTTTTCCCGTATATTTTTGTTATTTCTTTTTTCCGTTTATCTGCATTTTTTATATGTTATATATATTATATCGGTGATAAGGTAGCTCAATAGTTTATAAGCTTTGCTTCGTTTTGGGCTTCCTTGCCATTCATTTGTACTTATAATTTGTGAAATTTTTTTATATGGCAAAATAAATTGTTAATTGTTTTTTTAAATATGTCTGCAGGTCATGTTGACTTGGGCTGGGATAACCGGCAACATATCAAAATTATTGCCGGAAACTATGCCAACTGAAATACATACGTGATTCATCACTCATAATGGCATATTCATCACTCATAAGAATGGCATATACTACTTTAAATTCCCAGGAGCATAAAATCTTGTGCTTAACAACAGCTTGATTTCTAAAGGTGCCGCCAGTTTTTTTATACACCCTGTATTGCAGATTTTCCTAGAAACCATAATCGAATACTTTGAATTGACATTCTTGCCGAGTGAGATGCATCGTCATAACTGCCATGAAATTATTAGCACATTTTGCCAGTTTGATACTTGAAAACCAATCATGTTACGAGTTGTAAATATAGATATCGAAAATTATTAAAGCACTGGAAAAAATGTGAAATGCCATAACAGGTACAATAAGTCGCAGTGTAAAGAAGTCAAAAGAGAAATACTTGAGATCATTCTAATTTTAATCAAAATGGTTCTAATTGCAGCAGTCCTTGTTGGTGTCATTTCCGTAGTGGCATTTGTTTCTGGAGTTGTATCTGGTACCGAACAAATAAAAAATCGGTGGAGGAAGAAACCAGAGGGTCTCAGCCAAATTCTAGACGGGGATCATCGCTGTTACGGAAATATACGGCTGAATACCGATGGAACTCGAGTTTGAACAAAATAAGCTCGATGCTTATTGCGTCAGCCGGTGAATGTTTTGAAAAACCCCCCACGTCCCAGCCATTTCTCAACGGTTTGAGCATTTCTCGAAGGTGGTTCTAAAAGAGAGGGGGAGAGACTCGTCCCCCCCCCCCACAGTGGCTATGCCTCTGGATATAGCTGTATCTGACATCTGACTCGTTGTTCAGGTGTAAATTGAATATACGAGAATGAACAAGTACAAACGAATCTCAATATGATGAATATACACCTGACAGATTGGTATGCTTTACGGTTCTGAAAATTAGCCTTTCTTACGACCGATTTTTTCACCATTTTGGGGTAGTCCCTCTCCCACGTTTGAGAGTCTCCGCACCACGAAATACAATTTTTTAGTATCGTAGTTGTTTGTGTAATGGTACATTTACAGTTACAACTTTTAAAAGTCGCTTTTCTCGTGTGTTTTTTTTTTAATTAGAATCTTTCACGAGGGCAGACAGTATACCGAAATAGCGGATCTTGGCCTTCGCGAGAAAGGCTAATTGGCTGCCATTATAAACGTCTACCTCGTAAAATAGTTGATATATTTAGCATATCATTGAATCGAAATTTTCGGAGAATGCCCTAACCAGTGGTGGAAATAATATTTTACTTTCTGGGACCACAAGAGAACATTGAAAATTTTCCGCAAATATTAAAGTAAGTCGACACTCGGACAGTGTAACTGTGTAACACTAACAAGTTGTCAAACTAGATGTCATGCTATATTTTAACAGAAAAAAATTATTTCAGTCCACTGAGAATCTTAAAATATAACATAAACTAATTTTGATAAGATGCATCGAGGGTCTGATCCTAAGGTAAATACAAATGTCAAAAAAGGGCACTAGGGGGGCAACATCTGGGGGATCCATGCCCCCCTCAGAAAATTCTGAAAATCAGGTGTTCCAGATTGGCTAAAAATGCGTTTGCCATGCAACATTTGTTACATTACATCCATAGATATCTTATAAGATATCTATGGTTACATCATTCTATAGTCTAATACATTTATACACTATCGCGCTATTAAGATGGATGCATTTATAATTGCATTTCTGAGCTCATGCATGGTGTGAATTTTCCTCTGACAATTTTCCCTTTCCTCTCTACAATATTTTTCTTTCTTGGGGAAATATTTTCAGGGAACCCGTGGCCCTAACAGTTGTCGCAAAAATTTTGTACTTTGAAACTATTTTGCGAAGCAGACACACAAACAATTCAACTTCAAAATTTCAAACAACATTTTTACATTTCTGAAACTCTAAAACATCGTTTATTTACCTTTCAAAACATTTACCGGCTGTTCGCAATATATTCGAGGTATATAATACACCCTTTCAATAATTACGCCACACATACTTTTTAGTCTTGGAGCCTCGCTCTCATTAGTAAATTACGCAAGGTGATTGGCTCACGTTTCATGAGAGCGAGGCTTCCAGGCAAAATGACGTAATCATCGAGAGGGTGTATTATATTAGATCTCAAAGGGGACTTATCGTTGTATCGTGAAAATACTGAAACTAACTTTCAACAGAAGCCATAGCTACATACATATATATATATATATATATATATATATATATATATATATATATATATATATATATATATATATATATATATATATATATATATATATA